AGAGACAGGTCTTTGGAGAGGGACATCATGCTGGGTAGAGTGGAGGGACAGCGCAGGAGGGGAAGACCCTCTATGAGGTGGATAGATTCAGTGACTGGGGTAATCGGGATGGGTGTGTCAGAGGCAATGCGACTGGTACAGGATAGAGCAGGGTTTAGGGTTGCTGTACATAGAGTCGCTATGAGTTGCAAACGACTCAACGGCACATAACAACAACAACAACAATTTAAAAAAGGGTTGCTTCAGTACCTTCACAGGGCAGTGCTAGAATTTCACGCAGAATTCAAGAGATAGAGCAGAAAATGGGACATGGGTGCACAGGGCCATGAACTTTTCTCTGAAAGGGCCAGAAGGAGGGAGAATAACATAGCCCTTCACTGCTGCCCCAGGGCAGAAAGCGGATAAAGAGCCCATAGTGTAACCCATGGAGCCTCTAGAGCCAAACCACAAGCAAGAGGTTTTTTCATTCATTATTGACGCACAGACTGTGGTGTCGAAAGTTGGTTTTTTTTTTTTTTTTTTTTAGGGAGGTAAATTGGAGAGTTCTTGTTGTATACCATTGAGTCGAGCTGGAATTGATCCATAGCTGACCCTCCAGTGAGTTTTCAGAGGCAGTTAATTGCATGGGAGAAGGTTTCTCATCTTTCAGAGGCAGTTAATTACACAGAAGGAGATTTTGCATCCTTCTTTCATGAAGCAGCTGGTGGATTCAAACCAGGAGCCTTCAGGATTATAGCACAGCTTATTGTCTCTAGGCTACCAGAGCCCTCTTAATTTGGAGAGTAGGAGAAGGAAATATCACACAATGTAAATGGAAACAAACGCAAGTGTTAGCCCAGCAGTCTCAAGACATAATTCCTCAATTAGTCCAGACTCTAAGTTGAGCACACAGTTGTTCCTTCCATCATCTGGCAAGAGCAGCAAAACATCCAGTTTTTCCACAGCAATGTCAGTCTCTCCACCACCATTACGAGGTGTTGCTCTCACCAGGGTATCATTCCAGTCTTCCTCAAGTCTTGCTCCTCAGTCTGGAAAGCATTTTTTCCTCTCTCTTATCCTAGTCCCACAGATGTTGATGATTTGCAAGACCATATGTCTGCAATTAAGGTAGCTGGAGACAAGACAGGGCTAACATCATGGCTAGAAAAGCCAACTATTAATAGGACATTGCAGCTATGGAACAAAGGAGTATCAATACTATTGTTGTTGTTGTTATGTGCCATTGAGTCACTTGTGACTCAGAGTGACCCTATGTACGAGAGCCCTAAACCCTGCTCTATACTGTGCCAAACTCACCATCTCCGGCAATCTCACTCCCACCACCCCAATCACAGAATCGATCCATCTCATCAAAGGTCTCCCTTTCCTGCGCTGTCCCTCCACTCTCCCAAACACGATGTTCCTCTCCAAAGATTGGTTCCTCCTTAACAATATGCCCAAAGTATGTCAGACAAAGCTTCAGAACCCTTGACTCCAAGAAGCAACCCAGCTTCACCCTCTCCAGGACAAACCTGTTTGCTCTCTTAGCAGTCCATGGTATATTCAATACTCTTCTCCAGCACCACAGCTCAAAGGCATCAGTTCTCTATCATCCCTAGTCACTGTCCAACTCTCCGATGCATAGCATAAAACTGTGAAGATTATAGCCCAGATAAGAGTCTCCAGCCTGATGTTGCTGCTCTTCAGTATTCTTGAGAGGTCCCTCACAGCTGACTTTCCCAATGCAATTTGTCTCTTGATTTCATGGTGACTGATACCAAAAGTGTTGACTACGGAGTCAAGCAAACTAAAACTGTTAACTATCTCAATCTCTTCACCATCCATACTGATGCTGCCAATTGGTCCAGTGGTGACAATCTTTGTTTTCTTGATGGTGAGCTTCAATCTGTATTGAAGGCTGCAGTCCTCGATCCTCTGCAGCAAGCACTTCAGGTCCTCCTCAGTTTCAGCAAGCAGGGTTGTGATCTGCGTAACACGGGTTGTTGATGACTCTTCCACCAAATCTGATGCCACATTCCTCCTCGTACAGCCCAGCACCCTGGATGATCTATTCTGCATACAGATTGAAAAGGTATGGAGACAGAATACATCCCTGGCAAACTCCCTTCCTGATTTTGACCTATGTAATGTTTCCTTGCTATGTTCTGATAACTGCCTCCTGGCCCACGTATACGTTTTGCATAAGCACAATCAAATATTCTGGGATCCCCGTTCTTCTCAGAGTCAGCCATAGCTTGTTGTGATCCACACAGTCAAAAGCCTTTGCAAAGTCAATAAAGCAGAGATAGACATTCCTCTGGTACTCTCTGCTTCCTACATTAGCTATAATATCCCTAGTACCACGACCTCCTTTTAATCCAGACTACACATCTGGCAGTTCTCAGTTGACATACTGCTCCAATCATTTTAGGATAATTTTCATCAGAATCTTGCTTGCATATGCACTCTGTTGGGTCACCTTTCTTTGGAATGGGAACAAATATCGATCTCCTTCAGTCAGTTGGCCAAGTGGTCGTTCTCCAGATTTCTTGGCACAACTTAATGAGCACATCCAGGACAGCGTCTGTTTGTTTAAATATGTCAATTGGTATGCCGTCAACTCCCGGAACCTTGTTTTTTGCCAATTCTTTCAGAGCAATTTGAACTTCCTCCTTCATCACTACAGGCTCTTGCTTATATGTTATTGTTAAATAAATCTTGGCTGAAAGCAGAGAATAGCAGATAGGTGTTTACTTGTTTCCACCATTAAAAGACATTTGATTGTGTGAATCATAATAGATTACAGACTCCACTGCAAAGAATAATTTCAAAATGATTAATTGCATATATGCTAAACTTTTAAAGACAAGGTCAAAACATTTCCTTCTACACCAAGTAACAAACAACTTTAACACATTGGAAAGCCATTTACTAGCTTGATAAAAACAATGTCTACACCTTACACCAGAACAGTCAGTAGTACACAGCTTTTAGAGATACCTGATGTTGCTATGCTGTTGAGTCAGAATGGACTCATAAAAAAAGAAAAAAAAAGAATGGACTCATAGCTGACCCTCCAATGGCTTTTCCAATCCATCAGCTGCTCCTAGGGAAAAAATGGGCAATCTCCTCCTTTGTGTTTTACTACCTCTGATAACCCAGTGAAGGGTCAGCTATGAGTCCGTTCAGCCTCAAATGGCACAAAGCAAATCACAAGGGAGGAGACTATCCATCATTCTCCCGCAGATGGAGGTACAGCGGATAGCAGATTCGAACAGTGTGCCTTTAGGTTGACAACACAATTTACCATTAAGCTTCCAGAACACCCACAGAGATGAATAAGGATATCATTATTCCTTCCTTTTAAATAGTTTGGAAAAAAAATTTAAAAGTGCTATCAAGTTTTAAAAGTGCTATCAAACCAGCAAAATACATAAAACAAACATTAACAAAACTGAAAGAGGAAATTGACAACACTACTATAGTGCTGGGAGACCTCAATACACCCCTCTCAAGAAAAGATAGAACTACCAGAAAAAAACTCAACAGAGATAC